ATTGTTGTGTGGAAGAGAGCAGATAGATTATTCCAGAAGAAAAAAATAAATGTGTGTGTGTGTTATTTTATTTTTTTCTTCTGGAATAATCTATCTGCTCTCTTCCACACAACAATATGAAGCTCAGGGTGTGTGTGTGTGAGTGTGTGTGTGAGTGTGTGTGTGTGTGTGTCTGTGTCTGTGTGGGTGTGTGTGTGTGTGTGGTGTGTGTGTGTGTGGTGTGTGTGTGTCTGTGTGTGTGTGTGTCTGTGAATGTGTGTGTGTGAATGGTGTGTGTGTGTGTGTGTCGTGTCTGTGTGGTGTGTCTGTGGTAACAGCCATTTCACTGTGATGTTTGATGAAGGTCTGATGATGTTACAGTGTCTTGTTGTTTAGTAGTAGTACTTGTTTATGTAGTAGTACTTGTTTATGTAGTAGTACTTGTTTATTGTAGTAGTACTTGTTATGTAGTAGTACTTGTTTGTAGTCGTAGTACTTGTTGTTTATGTAGTAGTACTTGTTTTGTAGTAGTACTTGTTTTATGTAGTAGTACTAGTTTATGTAGTAGTACTTGTTGTTATGTAGTAGTTACTAGTTTATGTGTAGTTTCTTGTTTATGTAGTAGTATGTTTTGTAGTAGTACTTGTTTATGTAGTAGTACTTGTTTATGTAGTAGTACTTGTTTATGTAGTAGTACTTGTTGTTTATGTAGTAGTACTTGTTTATGTAGTAGTACTTGTTGTTTATGTAGTAGTATATTCGTGTTGTTTATGTAGTAGTACTTGTTTATGTAGTATTACTTGTTGTTTATGTAGTAGTACTTGTATGTTTATGTTTTAGTAGTACTTGTTGTTTATGTAGTAGTACTTGTTTATGAGTAGTACATTGTTTATGTAGTATTAACGTTGTTTATTAGAGTACATTAACTTGTTTATTAGAGACTTTACATCTCTTTATTAGTAGATATTACATCTCTTTATTAGAGTAGTAACATTCTTTATTAGTAGACATTAACATCTTTTATTAGAGATATTAACATCTCTTTATTAGAGATATTAACATCTCTTTATTAGAGACAGTAACATCTCTTTATTAGAGATATTAACATCTCTTTATTAGAGACAGTAACATCTCTTTATTAGAGACAGTAACATCTCTTTATTAGAGATATTAACATCTCTTTATTAGAGACAGTAACATCTCTTTATTAGAGACAGTAACATCTCTTTATTAGAGATATTAACATCTCTTTATTAGAGACAGTAACATCTCTTTATTAGAGACAGTAACATCTCTTTATTAGAGATATTAACATCTCTTTATGGCAACGCATGAAGCTCTAACCTGTCAGCTTCCTTTTATAGAACAGACTAATTACAGACAGTATAGTTGTCTATGGCACCATATTCCCTAGATTGTGCACATATTTTCAAAAGTAGTGTCATTTGGGACAGTCTTTTAAAACACATTATAATAGAACTACATATTTACGATCGGGGGCATAAGAAAAGGCCTAAAACGATTATCAGTGGGAACATGCACATTGAGAAAAGCATGACTTGTGTAGTTCTGAAAAATACTGCAGAGTACAAAGGAGAAATTAATTAAAACATTTTCTTTCCATTTGAGCCCAAATGAGGCTCAGGGAATTTAATGGCTACAACAAGTCATTTTAAACCCACCAGAATAAAATAAAAAAAAACGATTAAATCGTCTGATTCTGTATTATTACTCATAATAGTAGAGAGAAAGCCATTCTCCTTTATATCTCCAACAACCTTCACCATTCAATAGTTAGTTCAACAGATATGGACAGTCACATATAACAGATATGGATGTGCATCCCAAATGGCACCCTATTCCAGAGCCCTGGTCAAAAGGGAGTGAATAGGGTGCCATTTTGGACACAAGCCATGGTCAAATACACTGAACATAAATATAAACGCAACATGTAAATTGTTGGTCCCATGTTTCAGGAGATGAAATAAAATATCCCAGACATTTACCATTTCGCACAAAAAGCGTATTTCTCTTAAATTTTGCGCACACATTTTGTTTACATCCCCTGTTAGTGAGCATTTCTACTTTGCCAAGATAATCCATCCACCTGACAGGTGTGGCATACGGTATCAAGAAGCTGATTAAACAGCATGATCATTACACAGGTGCACCTTGTGCTGGGGACAATAAAAGGCCACTCTAAAATGTGCAGTTTTGTCACACAACACAATGCCACAGATGTCTCAAGTTTTGAGGGAGCGTGCATTTTGCATGCTGACTGAAGGAATGTCCTCCAGAGCTGTTGCCAGAGAACTGAATGTTCATTTTAGAGAATTTGGCAGTACGTCCAACCGGCCTCACGACTGCAGACCACATTGTGTGGGCGAGCGGTTTGCTGATGTCAATGTAGACCGATTTCCTTATATGAACTGGAACTCAGTAAAATCTTTTAAATTGTTGCGTTTTATATTTTTGTTCAGTATAGTTTAAAAGTGAGACTGACAGGCTGTGGGTGGTGTATCAAGCATATGTACAGACATCTACAGTACAGCTATGTAAATATGAAGTACCTATTATTTTACCAGGCAGCTATGTAAATATGAAGTACCTATTATTTTACCGGCAGCTATGTAAATATGAAGTACCTATTATTTTACCGGCAGCTATGTAAATATGAAGTACCTATTATTTTACTGGCAGCTATGTAAATATGAAGTACCTATTATTTTACCGGCAGCTATGTAAATATGAAGTACCTATTATTTTACCGGCAGCTATGTAAATATGAAGTACCAAATATTTTACAGGCAGCTATGTAAATATGAAATATCTAATATTTTACGGCAGCTATGTAATATGAATCTATTATTTACGGCCTATGTAATATAGAAAATACAGTATTACTTTATATATTTTACAGGCAGCTATGTAAATATGAAGTACCTATATTTTACCGGCAGCTATGTAAATATATTAATTACGCGTATGTAATATAAGACTATTTTGACGCTATGTAAATTGAGTACCTATATTTTACCGGCAGCTATGTAAATAGTTAGTTAATCCTAATATTTTACTCAGCGGCGCTATGTAATAGAAGTACCTATTATTTTACGGCAGCTATTAATATGAAGTACTATATTTACCGGCAGCTATGTAATATGAGTACCTATTATTTCTAACCGGCAGCTATGTAAATATAAGTACTAATATTTTACGAGGCTATGTAAATATGAAGTACCTATATTTTACCGGCAGCTATGTAATATGAAGTACCTATTATTTTACGCAGCTATGTAAATATGTAAGTACCTAATTAATTTACCGCAGCTATGTAAATATTAAGTATCTAATATTTTACAGACGGCTATGTAAATATGAAGTACCTATTATTTTACCGGCAGCTATGTAAATATTAAGTACTATTATTTTACAGCAGCTATGTAAATATGAAGTACCTATTATTTTACCGGCGCTATGTAAATATGAAGTATCTAATATTTTACAGGCGCTATGTAAATATGAAATATCTATATTTTACCGGCGCTATGTAAATATGAAGTATCTATATTTTACCGCGCTATGTAAATATGAAGTACTATTATTTTACCGGCAGCTATGTAAATATGAAGTACCTATTATTTTACCGCAGCTATGTAAATATGAAGTATCTATATTTTACCGGCAGCTATGTAAATATGAAGTACCTATTATTTTACCGGCAGCTATGTAAATATGAAGTACTTATTATTTTACCGGCAGCTATGTAAATATGTAGTACCTATTATTTTACCGGCAGCTATGTAAATATGAAGTACCTATTATTTTACCGGCAGCTATGTAAATATGAAGTACCTATTATTTTACCGGCAGCTATGTAAATATGAAGTACCTATTATTTTACCGGCAGCTATGTAAATATGAAGTATCTAATATTTTACCGGCAGCTATGTAAATATGAAGTACCTATTATTTTACCGGCAGCTATGTAAATATGAAGTACCTATTATTTTACCGGCAGCTATGTAAATATGTAAGTACCTATTATTTTACAGGCAGCTATGTAAATATGAAGTACCTATATTTTACCGGCAGCTATGTAAATATGAAGTACCTATTATTTTACAGGCAGCTATGTAAATATGAAGTATCTAATATTTTACCGGCAGCTATGTAAATATGAAGTACCTATTATTTTACAGGCAGCTATGTAAATATGAAGTACCTATTATTTTACCGGCAGCTATGTAAATATGAAGTATCTAATATTTTACAGACGGCTATGTAAATATGAAGTACCTATTATTTTACAGGCAGCTATGTAAATATGAAGTACCTATTATTTTACCGGCAGCTATGTAATATAAGTACCTATATTTTACGGCAGCTATGTAAATATGAAATACTATTATTTTACCGGCAGCTATGTAAATATGAAGTATCTAATATTTTACAGCAGCTATGTAAATATGAAGTACTATTATTTTACCGGCAGCTATGTAAATATGAATATCTATATTTTTACCGGAGCTATGTAAATATGAAGTACCTATTATTTTACCGGCAGCTATGTAAATATGAAATATCTAATATTTTACCGGCAGCTATGTAAATATGAAGTACCTATTATTTTACCGGCAGCTATGTAAATATGTAATACCTATTATTTTACCGGCAGCTATGTAAATATGAAGTACCTATATTTTACGGCAGCTATGTAAATATGAATATCTATTATTTTACCGGCAGCTATGTAAATATGAATACCTATTATTTTACCGGCAGCTATGTAAATATGAAATATCTATATTTTACCGGCAGCTATGTAAATAGAAAGTATCTTATTTAAACGCTATGTACTAATATGAATATCTAGTATTCGGCGCTATGTAACTATGAATACTAATTTTACGGCAGCTATTAAATATGAATATCTAATTTTACCGGCATGTAATATGAATATCTAATATTTTACGGCAGCTATGTAATATGAAATATCTAATATTTTACAGGCAGCTATG